AAAAATAAAATATACATATACATATATGTATATAGATAAAATATAATGCAAATATTTAAATACAAAGAGAGGCTGTCGAGGCTGCAAGATGGATTCCTCATACTAGCTGCTAGTCCAGCCAATCCCTATATTTAATTCAATTTATTTGCTGACTGATTGTTCCGATATGATAGATACTACATATATACATATATGATGATAATTCTCCACATTGGTCGGAGTTACCACTGAAGCTTTTCTTTCACCTTCTGGCAACCTTCTGTGGGCGAGTCCTTTGCCCGGTTTCTACTTTTCTACATGGAGCACTTATGCTCAGTCTTTGCTAGTTATACCCGTACTCAAAAAAGAGTTAAGGGGTATATTAGATTTGTGGTAAAAGTGGATGTGTGTAACGCAGAGAAGGAAAATTTTCCGACCCCATAAAGTATATATATTCTTGATCAGCATCAATAGCCGAGTCGATATAGCCATGTCTGTCTGTCCGTCCGTCCGTCCGTCCGTCCGTCTTGTTGAGCGCCTGGATCTCAGAGACTATAAGAGTTAGGGAAACCAAATTTCGTTTCCAGACTCATGTGATATCACACTGCTACAAGTGTATTTCAAAATTTCGCCCCGCCTCCTTCCGCCCCCACAAAGGACGAAAATCTGTGGCAGGCACAATTTTAAAGATACGATAAAACTAAAGACGCAGTATCGTAGAGAATGACCATATCTACCAGATTGCCAAATCTGAATCAGATCGGATCATAATTATAGCCAGAATGAAGAAATAAATTTTCTGTTGCTTCCCCTGCCCCCCCTCCAGCAAACGACAACACAACTCATTTTCCTTCTCGCTCGCACACTCTGCCGCGTTCAGTGCGCGAGCAACCCCTAGCGGAGGAGATGTAGAATCTAAATGGAACATGTACAATCTACATGTTAGATGTAGAATATACATTGTATATGTAGATGTAGATATCATATGTAGCAAAAAAATGTAAAATGTAAAATTTTTTTTTTTCTTAAATTCTTAAAAATCATAAGCTCAAAAATGTATATACTGACTGAGTACGGGTATATCGGGTGCCGCCGCCCCCCAAGCGACTCACACGTTCCTTCTCGTTTTTGTTTTGTTTTCTTTTCTTTTCAAATGACGAGATTCAGATAATGCAAAAATCCATTCATATTCCCTTGAGATCGGCAGTTGAAAGCCGCCTTTGGGCTGTGGCTTGATCTGGTTCTGTTTTCTGTTTTCATTTGCCAGCTGCTACGCCTCCACGCTGGATACTCCTTTAATTGCTGCAACATACCCCCCACCGCTCGCTTGCTGCGCCACACATGTTGCACATTGCGCCGCGCCCAACCAAACCCAACCAAGCAGAATAAGCTCGGCAATAACTAATTGAATTATGTGGCCAGCAGACGACTGAACTTCCACTTCCACTTGCTACTCCAAGCTCCAGCTGCAGTTGCTGCAACTGCAACGGCTGCTCCTACTGCTCCTCCTGCTCCTCCCAGTGTTCCTCCTACTGCTCCTCCTGCTCCTACTGCTCCTCATCCTACTGCTCTTCCTCCTACTGCTCCTCCTCCTACTGCTCCTCCTACTGCTCAACTCATTTGAGTTTGAAGTTGCTGCGAATGCCCTCTGGAGGGACGCTTCCAGCTTTAAAGGGTGCGCGTATTTATCTCCCATTTCCTTGCCTGATTATTTTCTGTACATTTTAATTTGACTAATCCACAAAGCATATGTATATATGTACACATTTCTGTGTCCAATTATCCACGTTAATTATGCACATGGGAACTGGCAAACAGCCACGCAAACACACCAAATTAAATGTAAGCTTAATTAGCTGTGGACTCTGACTTTTTCATACATATATAATCCCCTCCCTTGACGGATCATGTTGCCAGGGCCAACGTCAACGCTAAAAGCTGCATAAATGCAAAATGCAACATGCAACATGCCACATGCAACATGCATCCCCAGCAAATGAATTTCTGCACAAGGGCGCGCGAGTCCTTTTGAGCGTTGGCAAACATTTTTTCCGCTGGGCAGCGATAAAGGGCCAATCACGTCCAGTCCCGTCCAGTCCGGTGCAGAGCTGCAGCGGTCATTGGAAAACCGCAGGGGAAAAGCCGGAACCACTTAAGCCCTCCGCCAATTCGCTAGAGAAGCCCGGGGTACTGGGACATGGAATGGGGGGGGGGCACACGGCCAGTAGCAGGCAACATTAAAGCACTCTGACTGTCAAAGTATTTGTGTCCGTGTCCGTGTCCGTGTCGCCGTGTTTGTTTGCTCCGACTCCCCTGCCGATGGATGTGTGCAGCAAAAGAGTCAAAGCCATCAGCATGATGGCCCATCAGGGAGAGCAGGACGAAAAATTCAGAGCATGATTCGCCTTTTTGCTGCAAAGTTGATGCTTTCATCAAATGCAATGAAATATTTCACATAATGAACATTCTCTTGAGCCAATACGGGGGACACACACACACACACACATACACATACATATAGCTATAAGCCGAGTGGGGTTACGCATGAGTTGGCATATGAGACGAGCTGCTGGCCAATATGGCCATGGCCAATGAATCAATTCGAGTGGGTGGGGCGGGAAGTAGGAAAAAAGGCAGGAAAGAAAACCCACAGCATAGCCCCGATAATACAAGGAGTATTTGCAGTCGATGGGGATACATTCTACACACAGAACATCCACACTAAATCCACACAAAGTCCACACTAAATCCACACTAAATCCAATGCCAAAATGGACAGAATGCAGCAGGTTATCAGCTCATCTGGTGGGTTTGCCTAGCTAATTAATTAATTTGATTTAAATGTGATGGATACCCCGAAGTATACCAATACGTCCCCCCGCTCCCCACTTGGACCCTAAAACACTGCTTGACATTCGAACCCAAATAAATATCAACCAACTGAGCCGAAACTGATATTATAATCTTATTAATTTTTAATCTTTCAATCAGCTAAGGGGGCCGCATCGCATCGCATCCCTTGTCAGCGCTGCCGTACCCTGTGCCCCCCCCCTCGACCCCTAATTATGTTTGTGGCAGGCGGCAAAGTTATAAAAGCAAAAAAATAAAATAAAAAGGGACAGACAGGAAAAGATTAACTGGCGGAATCTGTGGGTTCACTTTGGCTTAAAAAACTTTTCCAATTGCTGTTAACAGAAAAACAAGCAAGGGGAATAAGGGGAATAAGGGGAATACAAATTGATGGGCAACTTTTGATTAGTTTTTCTTCTTTTCACTTCACTTTTTAGGCCTGCTCCAATCGGTTGCATTCAGATGGCGATTGTCTCCGCGCCGCGCCGCATCTTTGCCTCAGTCTGCCTCTTATCTGGTACGGGACTGGCTCTGCATACGGATTAATTGACGCCTCCGCATCAGCTGTCCGAATGCCAAAATCTCGCTAAATATTCACAAAGCTAACAACCACAATGAAAAAAATATAAAAATATAAAAATAAAAAAATATGAGGAATAGTCCGGGCACGGAAATTGTTTGTGCTGCATTTGCATTTTGTGGCAGCGCCTCACCGCTACGGGCAAAAGTTTCCCTTTTTTGCGTACGAAATTGCCAAGACAAAGTTCCAGGCCACAGTCTGGCAGTGGCGGTGGCGGTGGCGGGCAATCGGACTGGACTCCTTCCGGGGCAGCTGCAACTGTTCTCCAGCCGGGCGGCAGCCAGGCAATTAAGTTGCATAAAGTTGGTTACACGATTTGCAAGTTGCAACTGGTACGTTGGCAACCAACCGCCTTCGCATCCGGCTCTGCATCCGCATCCACATCCTATCTACCCACAATGTCCGTGGTGTCTCTCTGCGCTCCTCTGCTTGCTTCTGCGGCATGTTCTGGCTTTCGTCTATGGCCAAATGTTGATTAAAATATAATTGGATTCTAATTAATGCTAATTGATTTGTGCGACATGTGCCCCTTGTCATGAGGAGCGTGGAGGTGGGCACATCACATGCCATGCCGCCCACCACCCCCCACTAAATTCACAGCCATGGATAGCCATGGATGGGGTTCGTCATGTACTGTATTGTGTGCACTGCTTGCTCGCCCTTTGTAGGTGGTGGGGGGGGACACGCACAGATATACACAGACATGTGCACACTTATACTGGAATTTCGGCACGACAAACAGTTCCAGTCGCCAGTCCGCGTCACGTGTCAGATTGAAGGGGGCAGCCAGCCAGCCTGCCAGCCGGGCAAACTTCAGACCACACATATCACACACACAGTCGGACACGGAAGAAACACTATATACATACATATGTATGTATGAAAGATATTTGAAAGACAACCAATTAGGCGTTGTCAAATTGTTTGTCATTTGAAATGCGAACCACACATTAAAGGTGGTGGGGGGGGGGGGGCTGGCAGACAGAACAGAACACCACTTCTACGATCCACCTCTCCACTATGCTCTCTCAGCTAATGCAAGCGGCAGAACGAAAGTAAAAGAGTGCAGCTAAGCCAAGTACGTGCGATAGAGCAAGAGAGAGGGAAAGAAAGATAGATAGAGCGCGAGAGAACAGCTAAGCTACATATGAAGCTGCTGTAGCTGCAGGAACGAAACGAAACTACGAGAACAGAGAACGGCCGCTGTTAACGGTGAACGATGTTAATCTACAGTGGTCAGGCAGTGGTCAGGCAAACAAAATGTAGATTTACATTATTCTGCACCACTTTCTATTATAATATATACGGAATTGGGTAAGAAAGCTGGGAACCCCGACGTTGGTTGTACTCCACCAGAATTCAAGTCTTAGCTGTAAATTCACCGTTAGTCGAACGCAATTATTAAGATTTAAAAAAAAGGGTTGCTTTCTTTTCAATTCGATTTTCCTACTTGATCAAAGGAACCTGTTAAAATCATTGGAAAACATCCTTGAAAATTCACATTCAAGTTACAAGTAAAGTAAAATTTCCATTTACATTTATTGTGGTGTTTCTGGTGTTTCTGGTATTGATCTAGTCTAGTCTGTTCGCAATGCTGCCTCTAGCACAGAAATCGATCCAGGGTCAGCGTAAGGCCGAACTGGGACCACGAAGCGGTTTCAGCTTCATCAACTGCCGGCGGTAAGCGAAGGGAGGGATCTGGGATCTGGTAGGATACGGAGACTGGATGGGTAATTAATGCACCATTTGCACACAGCAATGCGAAGCTACTGGCCGAGGGCTATCAGCCGCCGACGGCGGTGCGCACTGGCACCTCCATTGTGGGCATCATCTGTCAGGACGGCGTTATCCTGGGGGCTGACACGCGAGCCACCGAGGGCCCCATTGTGTCCGACAAGAACTGCTCCAAAATCCACCATCTGCAGCCCCACATCTAGTGAGTGCCACCCGATAGAGATGCTCCCTACTGTAGCTCCTCTAACAGCTCCTTTTCCCATCCATTTCCCTTTCCGATAGTTGCTGCGGTGCTGGCACCGCCGCCGACACTGAAATGATGACTCAGCTGACCTCCTCGGAGCTGGATCTGCACCAGCTGAACATGGGCCGGCAGGTGCCGGTGGTCTGTGCCAGCTTAATGCTGCGCCGCACTCTCTTCCGCTACCAGGGGAATATCGGTGCCGCATTGGTCATGGGCGGAGTGGACAGGTGGGGGCCGCAGATCTATTGCATCTATCCGTGCGGCTCCAACGACAAGCTGCCGTACGCGGCCATGGGATCGGGCACTCTGGCCGCCATGTCCGTGCTGGAGCACGGCTGGAAGCCGGACCTCGATCAGGAGCAGGGCAAGCAGCTGGTGCGCGAGGCCATCTCGGCGGGTGTCTTCAATGACCTGGGCTCCGGCTCGAATATCGATCTCTGTGTGATCACCAAAGCGGGCTCCCAGTACCTGCGCACAGACACAATCGCCAGCGAGCGTGGCGAGCGCCAGGGCATGTACTCCATCAAGCCGAACACCACGCTGGTCAAGTCCACCTCCGTGCAGAGCATCCTGGTGGCCGACGAGCGCTCCTATCGCGTCTCCCTGTTCTCCTCCCGCTGGATTTTCTTCTCCGAGTTGAATTTGGGACACAGTTCGTGGCCCGCACAGACCGATCCCGATAAGGATGAGCAGCCGCAAGTGTCTGCTCAGAGCGAGCAGCAGAAGGAGCCAGAGGCAGAGCCTCAAGTGCAGAATCAAGTGCAGGATCAACCACGCCCAGATTCTCAATAATCGAATCTAAATTTTGCTCGAAAAGTAACCAAAAAAAATTATCCGTTTTCATAAATGTTATGTACAATGCATACATACGTACATTTTTATGACTTCTTAACCATGTTAAACTCAATATATAATATATGTGAAAGGTTTAATCTAAATGAATGTTTATTGCGCAAAGATATAACAGTTTAGGTTTTGGTTATAACAGTTTGTGTGAGCTTAAATCGTTTCATTAAATACAATTCAGCGGCTGACTGGCGAGAGTGAGTTCTCTTATCGGCGTCTGCTGTCGCTCCTCGTCTCTCATTTGCGCGATCTGCTCTGCTCTCTGCTTTATTCTTCGCTCTCTCGGGCAGGCAGGTCCGTGCATGTTTACCTGGCACAGCCTTCCTACATTGCAAGACACTTATTCCCCCTGCTGCTTTTTTATGATGCTGAGGACACGACAGCTCAAAGCTACAAAAACTTGAACAATTTTTATGTTTATCCAAGAAACTTGATGGGCTGAGGGACGGACCGAAGGCGGAGCATCTCAGGAAATATTTCCTCTACACTCTACGAAAACTCTCTACACGGGGAAACTTCCATAAATGAATCGAGATATTTAAGATTGCTGGAACGGAACAAAACGAGTAAAACCTTAACATAAACGTAGGGAACGGAACAAAACGAGTAAAACCTTAACATAAACGTAGGCACACCAAATATTAATGGGTATGTACATATGTATATTTCCCTGTTTCCCTCTCATTTTATTTTATTTTAACAAGCAGTACCCTGCTTGAGCAAGAAGCGCACTGCTTTGTCCACAGTGTAAGCTGAAATCAAAGTGCAGCTGGCGCCGCCTTAGACCAGTTTCCCATTGTATGTGTGTGGGGGGTGTGGTGTGGTGGCGTCTCAGCTCCTGTGCCTGCCTGTGTGTCTGCTCTGCTCAAAAATAGTTTGAATCTTTTGCGATTCCCACATGTTGTGGGCTGCCTCTCCAACAGTGCATTTGAAAGCGAATATCTGGAAGTTCTCAACTGCTGATTGGCGACGAATGCTGGCAGAGGCAGAGGCTTTAGCCAGTTGTCATACCACCAACCATTCCATTCCATTCCATTGCAAGTCTCCGGCAGTGCCCGTGCCGTGTTCAATCCGGGCCGTGTACACGCTCCTGCTCCTGCTCTTGCTGCTGCTGTTGCTGCTCCTGTAATCGAGGTCCGACCGATGTGGTGTCTGCTTGGGTCTGTCTGCCGTGTTCTGGTAGCTATCAAACGATGAACTGCGAAAACGTGTAAATATTGTCCCGGTCCCGTTCTCGTTCTCGTTCCCGTTCCGGGTTAAAGGGGGCTGCAACTTGGGCGGAGACCAGCATCATTATAAGATTAAATCGCAGTGCTTGGATGCTCTCCACACATCTTCATTCAGGTACATGGCCATGGCCCACGTGGCTCGTGGCCAGTGGCTGGGGGTGGTGGGTCCTGTCCTGTCCTGGGGCAAGGTTTGATTTTGTTTTGTCGCTTGTTTGCCATTCGCTCGGCTGCGTCGGTTACCTTTGGCTTCCCTTTTTCCGGTGTTCACTTTCCTTGCAGAAGCAGAAGCAGCAAGCATTCAGGCTGGAGTAGTCCAGGGGGCGTTCGGTGTGCCCTGCTTGCTGCCTTCTGCATGTTCCACCTTCCACGTTCCCTGTACTCCGTTCCCTGTTCTCTGTTCCCTGTTGTCTGCTCTTCTTGGTTCTTGTTGCTCGGGCTCTTGCCATCTGTTGTCTGTCGCTGTTGTCCTCCCACTCTCTCTCCCTCTTTCTCTATGTGTGTGTGTGTGTGCACATTTTAAATTAGATTTCTGTGTGCACTGGCAGCTTCCTTCGGTCGAAGGTCCTACTCCTCCTCTCCTTCCCCTGCTCCTCCCACAACTCAATAACCATCTCCAGCATGGTTCCTTTCAACTCTCACATGCTCCACCTGCTGCTGCTGCGCCCATGCTCTGGCTCTATCTGACTCCATCTGTTTCCGATTTTGTAATCGAATACCGCACCATCACAGGATTATCTTTTCTTTTTTTTTTTTTGGTTAGCTTCAAGCCTCTCCTTCAAGCGGAAGGGGTCGGAATGGAGGGGGTAGTGGAAACTGTAACCGCTTCTAATCCTTATCCTTTGCTATATGCACTGCTCGGCCCCATCCCATCCCATCCCATCCATTCATTCATTTATACATGCCATGCCATGCCAGTAGGTGGGTGGGGGGTGGTGGGAAAAGGGCTCCTACCTGTAGCCAACGTCCAGGCATTGGATTACATTTATTATTTATTTACGGGCACTTGACGTGCAGAGGGTCCAGCAGGAGCAGCAGCAGCAGCAGCAGCAGATGGCCAACTAATTGAATAATAGTAGGGAGGGAAGCTTCACTTCACTCCAGCACTCTGCCTCCTGCCTTCTGCCTCCTGCATGCTGTTCGGACTCGCTCGCTTGCTTCCATGTGGCACCCGGTCTGATGTCCTGTCCCTAGCCAGCCGTGTCATGGCTCTGTCACACGGAGCTCTGCAGGCAAATGCGTCAAGTGCAATTTAATTTAAATCGTGCGTAGCCAAGGGCAACCAAGGAAGGCGACAGCGACAGCGACAGCAGCAGCAGCAGCAGCTCAGGGGTCAGGGGTTGTGTGTGGTGGTCGGGGTGGCGCTGGGGTCACATTTGAATAAGGGGCATGAGCATGGCTCCGCTGATCCCTGGGGCCACTCGAAGCCAGTCATTCCATGTCCTGTTGTTTATGGCAACACCTCCTCCCACCCTACCCCACTACCCCCTTACCATTCACCTCCTAAGGTGCCGGATCATGCAACACAGCATACAGCACACAGCTGCCTGATGTGCCACATGGGAATCAGAGGTCAGTTCGACTGAGCGTGCAAAGTGTCGTCGTCGTCTGTGGGACGCAGACGAATTTTCGGGGCAAAGTTGTGAAATATGCCAGCGTCTAAGGATATTGACAGGCGGGGCAATAAAAGGCGACAAAGGCGACAACAGCCCTGGGAGCAGAAGGCAAAGCCGGAAGAGCCGGTGAAGCCGTCAAAGGAGCCTCTCAATCAGTAGCAAAAGGAAGCGTGAACATGTCTTATTTATATGTATATGTGTGTATGGTACAAGCAACAGCGTCCTGCATACGAAAGGATGTGGTGGGAAGTGTGTCCATGGCACCACTGGGACCGAAGCAAATTTCTGGCATCGAATCGAGATAAGGAATCAAATCTATATTGTATAATCCATGACATATAGAAAGGGGAAGTTCAGTACATCTTTACTTCCATTGGAATTGCCAGTTTTCGACTCTGCTGCGTCTGTCGTCACTGGATGAGTCCTCCCAGCCCTCCCAGCCCTCCCAGCCCTTTGGCAGAGCGTAAAACTGATTCTGAGAGAAATATTTTGGGGTGCAGGCCCTTGGGGCCCTGTCATTGTTGGACAGCCCCCATCTGAGTCGGATAATGTCTCCAGTAGATGACACGACAGTTCCACTGCCAGTTCCACTGCCAGTGCCTGTGCCAGTCCTTTTTCTGCACTGATTTTGTTGTCGTTTCCCCTCGATTTGGCCAGTCTTAGAGTGACGGACAGTAAATCCCATTAACATCAGGCTTGGGCGTCCTCTTTGGATCCACAATCAGGCTGATTCTCTGCCTGACGCTGAAAAGGAGTGGGGCAGGGGCAGGGGTAGGGGTAGGGTAGGGGTAGGTGTAGGGGAACTTGTGTCGCACTTTTGTTACTTGTTTCGTGTTGCTTGGCCCTCGCGTTTGCCGCCTTAGCCAGCATCAAACTTTAGACGCGGCCATTTAACAGCAGGCAATGGCAAAAGGGAAACGGGAAGCGGGGCGAGGCAGATATTGCACACGGATGGCTGGCTGGCTGGCTGGCTGGAATGCATGCCACGTCAGAGACCGGCGCGGACGTGCTTCACAGCTTAAACAGCCGTGGGGCGTGCCCAGCCATATGGACAACAGTGTGTGGGGGGGCATGTGGCATGTGGAGTGTGGCATGGGGCATCTGTGGGCGATGGCCGGTGCAAGGTGGGCTGCTTTGGGCTTTGGACGTTGGACTTTGGACCTACGTGCCATCAGCTTTAGGGCGTGGTTGTAGGCGTGGCCTGGCATTCGCATAAGCATTTAACATGGAAAGCAGGAGGGTGGGAGGGAGGCAGCGAAGGAGAAGGGGATACTGAATGAAATCAGAAGCGGCTTCATTATCGACAGCAGCAGCAGCTGCAGCAGCAGCGGCGTCTAATTAGCGCGTCGAACGGGTCGTATGCGCAATGAATAATTGCCGGTTACCTTTGCCCGCAGCCCACCAGCCCACCAGCCCACCAGCACCACCCCCTGCCCACACCCAATTGAATGCTCCTATCAGCCTGCCCCCACTGCTGTCAGCTGCAGCTGGCTGTGGTTGGCTGCAGCTCTGTCCAGCTGGATAATGAGCACCCCAACGCATGCCATAAGAGCAGGGGAGAGACGGGCAAGAGAACACCAAAGCCATAGAGCCTGGATTACGAGTCGAGTAAGAGAGACAGGGAGTGAGAGAGAGAGAAAGAGCTGAGATTCGGAAGAGATTTGGGGCCCAGGTCCAGGCACGAGCACAGGCACGTGCCTCGCACGTCCTCTCGTTGCCATTGAGTGCCACCCCCGGACCCAGTCCAGCAGAGTCACTCGCCAAGGACTGCCACTTATTACATAATATCGAGTACCATTTCACCATCGACCAGCAAATTGACCCAAGCTGGACCATCAACAAGCCCGCAGGGCAGGGCAGGGCAGGGCAGGACAGGCACCAATTGCTCCTTTGGCGGTCACAGAATCAAGTCAGTCCCATCGAATTTCGCTAAAAATTTGACACGAGCAATACGAGGAATTCTTAGAGGAATAAAATCAAATATTGCAGACTGCAGGGTGCTTTGGGGATCTATGGAGAAGAAAGAGACATGGAAATAAATATAAATCCACAGCGAAAACAGATTGAACGCGCAATAAGAAAATAGTCTGGCAACAAATGCTCATAAATATAGCTGGCCAATAAGCTTCCATATCTACCTCTGTGCATCTTCCATCGTCTGCTCCGTGCCCAGCGATCTTGCCGCAGCCTCGTGCCTCATGGACTGCTTCTGTTGGCCTCCACTCTCTTGGATATTAGCAGAACAGAAGAAGCTTCGGTCTGAGCACATTTTATGAGCTATTTGCTCAGGTTTCCCCAGTGGCCTGTGGCCTGTGGCTGCTCCCAAACTCCATACAAAAAGATGAACAACATTTATTCGATATTTAAACTCTTAAAGCCAACCTCCCATGACACACTGAATGGCTTCGATGAAAAAGATTGCCAACGGGCAGAGCAGAATGCTCAGTGCCACCCACAGGCATATCATCAGCATTTTGCCAAGCTTAAAGGGCGCAAAGATGGCATCTTTCAGCAGCATAATGCCCTGCCAGATAATTACCCATATGGCTTTCAGTATGTCAAAAAAGCAATACAAGCTTATGCCCCCCGAACAGCCTCTGATTGCCTCACCCATGGCCGTGATTATCTTGCCGACCCTGTTGCCAAGTGCTTCGCGTATGATGCACCTCACGAATTCGATGGCCGCCTGTTTGGCGGGCCAGGCCAATTGCTTGGACGAGCGGCCAATGCATTTCCACATGCCAAAATTGAACACATTTAGTATGAGTTTTGGGAAGAAAAAAACTGGCGCACTCCAGAGCTGGGTATTGACGCAGCTGAAACACGTGACCAAAAGGATCAGCACGAGAAGCTTCTTCATTTGGAACATTCCTCACGGCTGGAGGGAGCTCGAATGGGCAAATAATTTCTGCCAGTGACTTAATCCTCCACTCTTGGCTCGATACTTTCTACTGTCTGCTGTCCAAGGCCATGTTTAGTCAATCAAATGCGTTTGAGGGTGTCCAATCGCACACCACAAATAATCGCACAATAAGCGAAACAAAATCAATTTCCAGCACTCGCTATTAGTTGTACTTTGGAATGAATGAATAGCTCAATATGGGTTAGATTTTTTCTACTACCTGCCCATGGTTTTTGGCAGAGAAACGGGCGTGGCAGGAGCCGCGGCACATGTTGCAGATACCGAGCAAAAATCATGAAATTAAATCGACAGCCGATCATTTATTTTCAGTGCCTCTTCTTCTGCTTCTTTCTCTAACACACACAGATTGGTTTTTGGTGGGCTAGAGTCCCACACTTCGGCACCGTTAGGCGCTGAGTCGGCATAGAGCTTTCCAGAACACACCACAACACTGTGTGATTTGTGTGACTGATTTGCGTGCAGAAACAATTATGAACTCAAATGTCACTGCTGTTGTTATAACTACATCTAATAACATTACACGGATGGCAGCATGAAAGGGTTCCGGCTACGGTGGCTACGGTTACGGGTGTTCGGCACCGCTTCCAGTTTCGGTTCGATTACGGAATCAGTTTAAGGTTCGATTGGTTACAGCAGGGTTTGTTTTTCGCTTCGATTCCGCTTTGATCGATTTGTGTCGCTCATTTGCCGCTTCGATTTCCGCTTTATCTGTACGGGATAATGTGGTAGCCAAGCGGGTGGTGTGAGTGGGGGAAGGGAGGGGCACATATACATACATACACATACTACACACAAGTGTAGCCATAATCACAAACAGAAATTCTATTTTGGTGGTAGGCTGTTGGAGGAGTCGACTCTAGTCCTTGTCCTACTCGCCTCACAATTACAGCAGCTGGAGGAGGAAGTGGTCGTATCCCCACTGATGCCCGCCCCCAGCTCATCCTGAGGGTCCTGCGCTGTTGTCTCCAGGTGGTGAGCGGCAGACCGTCATCGAGCTCGTCCTTATGCTCGTAGATGTAGGCGCGCCTCTTGAAGTTTTCGAGCAGCAGCCTCCAGCTATGGCAGGCTTCTAGGAGAGAGAGGGCAGGTTCGGATTCATGAAGGTGCGCTGCGTGGCACTTCTGCAGCACAAATTTCGCTGCAACTGGTGAAGAGAAAGCCTAAACTAATCTCAGATTACATGGTCATTACTGGCGAACGGGCAGCTCCGAAGGTGGGCCCAGAGCCAGTGTCTGAAGCTGCGGAGGACCACGCCGTTGTCCGGCTGCTCCAAAAATAAATTCTGGGTATTAGCAGAGCAGAAGAGAAGAGAAGAGAAGTTTCTGTTGCCTTCAACTTTTCAGTTATATTTTCGGGAACACAGTCACCCGCTTCGTTTCGGTCTGTGGTTTTATTTCAGAGGCAAAACTTATCGCATCGCTAAAATGTATATCGACTTTGCCACCATTTTGAGCTCGAACATTGAGCCAAAGAACTTCGATCGGGATATGCTGGCAGAGCTGCGGAACTACTGCTTTCGGCACGAGTTGCCGCTGCCCCTCATGGAGATTGTGGCGAGGAACGGCAGCCCAGAGGCACCCGAATTCGTGGCCTGCTGCTCGTGGGCCTCCATCAAATGTTACGGCAAGTCGCACAAAAATAAGTACGCCCGCCAGCTGGCCGCCATCGAGGTGATGATCGTCATGGCACCCCAGTTGCTCATCACCATGGAGGCCGAACGTCGTCGCAGGTTGACCCAAACGGAAGTCTCAGCCCACAGCTGCTACAAGAACTTCCTGCCGCACCTGAAGAAAGCCGCCATCGAGGTCATCAATGCCACGGAGTACCCCACCGAAAAGGAGCAACTTCTGGCCCTGCTCAGTGCCCTGAAGATCGAAGCCGCGATCTCCACAGTTCCATCCAGTTACCGGCAGCAGCCCATTGTGAAAGTGCAGCTAAATGTTGACTCTGAGGGCATTTTTCTTGACTACGAGAGCGAGATCTATGGCCAAATGATTGGTTACTTCAAGGATTTGCTTGACTAGACTTTCATTATCATGATTTATTTTATTGTGAGCAATTTACGTTTAATTAGCACTGCATTGGGCATCGCTAGGTTTGTATTTATTCCGATCTATGGCTGTATTTTGGGGTGGTGGTGGGGGGGTACCTGTGCACTTTCCCTGATCTTCTTAAGCTGCTTGTTAATTGGTTGTTTAATCGCTTAATTGGCCATGACTTGAGTGGCTGCCGTCATTGTTCTATTGTCAAGCAGGAAATTGGTGCCGCGGCTCGGCACGACTTGCAGCTTGCGCCACTAGACAGACTGTTGTCATGGTAATGCCCCCAATCAGGCACTCCCAATCACTCGGAACGGGTCGCTGCCAGAGGAGAACAATAAGGGCCTGCCTTCTGCCACTCATCGAGCACAATTCACCGCCATTATCCACTCTCACCACCCTCCACGCCACCCTAAGCCTTCTTGCATCTTAAATCCTCAACGATTCAAGCAATTAATTGAATCGCAAATAGGGGCTTCAATCCAATCAAATGCAATTTATTTACATTTAAGCAGACTTTTAATGTAATTTTGTAACAATTTTTGAACTCCTTAAACATATTTCGAAATATCTGAGTGAGGAACTTGCGATGAGTCTCTATTTTGGCACACAGATTAAAAACAAAATGCTGGCCAGCAATAACAAATCCAAAAGATAATACTCGCTCAAAAGATATGTTCCACAACCCATTTCCCAGCACAATGAATAATATCGAATTACAACTCTTTTTTTAAGTTGATTTGCTGATGCTCTGCATTGGAAATTTCACTCGAGTGAGAAATTAATTCCAGCAGAAATGTGGCAGGGGCAGGTGCACTTCAGAGTGGGTCCAAAACCTGCGATAAGTTCCACAAGTTCCATAATTGGAAAGAAGCTTTGGAAGCGCAGGCAGAGTACCGAAAGAGAGAGAGAGAGAGAGAGAACAAAAGTTTTGGCTGAGTCGACGCTGTGAATACCCTTGGAACAGATCGTCCGTTGTGTGGTTAGCCCTACACACTCGAGGTAGCTCTTTTTCTTGTTTCTTATATCTACATACTAATTAATGGCACTGCAAGTCAGGCAAGAGTAAGTTTTAGTATAGATTTTGATTGCCTTATGGTAAATAGGTGTACCCTATCTCTTATCTACGAAATGATAGATAAGAAATGCTTTACAAGCGGAGCACATAGGTTTTCACACTGTCGTGGGGGGCTGGTGGGCGAAATACCTGCTGGCCGGTCTCGTCCAGGTAGTCGTCATAGCGGAGGGTGTTGATCAGCTCGTATCCGAGACGGGCCATCAGGCGGGCGGAGTAGAGGCTGGTGCAGTCGACCGTCACGAGGGGATGACCCAGAGCACGGGCGCGTTCGGCCACGGCGTTCATGAGGCGGACGCCCAGACCCAGGCCGCGCAGCGTGTGGTCTATGCCCAAGGCATGGACATGAATGGCCGATGGTACGCCGTAGCGCTGGCAAACGTTCGTCTCCTGCTCGACCCGGGCGAGCAGGCCCAGGATGCGACCCCACTTGGTGCCGGAATGCTCCACCAATTCCACGGCGAGGTGGTCCGACTCGTGGGCATCTTTGGGCCCTGCCACGACCGCGCCTACCATGCGAATGCCGCCCTGCATGACCACCAGGCAGGTGCCGTACTGGATGTTGGAGAGCAGAAAATCCTTGTCGGCCTGGTCCGGCTCCGGCGGACTGCAGCCGGCGGTCAGCGGCTCCTCGCGATAGTAGTGCTCCAGTAGGAACTGCATCAGGGCTTCACCCTCGCCGGCTTCCACAACACGCACTTCTATATCGTCCGATACATTCATTCTTTTGTCTGGGGTCTTTTTTCTCTGTCTTCCGACGTGGACGTAGCGATGGGCGAGTCAGCCGGCACGTGGAAGCAAGCTGTGCACTAAACGAGGTGGTGTATGCGCTCTCTTTTCGGTCTTCGTTTGCGCTCTGCGCACCAGAGAGAGCGCTGCTAATTAAATGATCGTCAGCTGTGTCAGCGCTCTCTTTCTCTATCTGTGGACTGTGTGTGGATCGCAAGTTCCAACATGCGCAACATGTGAATTACTGTTGTTTGGGTAGGTCATGGCTGCGCTCTGAGTTTATGTTGAGCCCATGCGAACAGTGGGGAACAATTCGGATATTATATTATATATATTATGTAAATATATCCAAACATATTAGTAACATCAATTTTATTTTTTGTTGTCCAATCTATATTTTCATTGCCAAATTACAGGGCATATATTAGATAATAGATATATTATATTTGAGAGAATCTATTGAGAGGCACTGAATAAAATATATGTGATGTATTTTTCTCACCATAATTTGTATATATGTATGTAAGTTGAGTTAATAGAATCAATTTAATACTGGACAGTAGCACATAGATAATTTGGTAATCAATTAATCACTGAGAGACTTAAAAGATGAAATTTGAAGCCAAACAAAATATGAATCGGAAACTTGTGCATCCAAATGAACCAAAAATGTTTAAAGGAAGAAAATAAAGATGTTAAAAAAGGTTTTCCATACTTAATCACTGTGAACTCGTCTCTCTTTTCAGTGATACCTTTCTGTCTTTCAGTCTTCAGTCTTTTTGTGCAGCCTGATTTTGATCCGATGACCCGATTCATCCAATAAAATCAAATAAAATGTCACATCAACTTCAATATCAAAAGACATTTTTAATTTCTCATATTAAAACGAATTATTTTGCATATGTACAGTACAGTACAGTACATATATGTATGTATGTATGCAGTGCTAGTTACAGGCTAAAAGACGGACGCCCGTTCTGGCCAGCTGAGGAGCGGCAGCTCGCATTTCCATTTGGACGCTACGTGCGCCATTAAGTCGTCGAAGTGGCGCTAATGGAGGATTGGCTGCTGCGAGAGCGCATCGGAACCATTAGGAACGGTATTAAAGAGGCTTAAGAAGCTTTGGGCTCCGCCCAACAGTACAACAGTACAACAGTACAACAGGAGCGGCGAGCACAAAGGCAGAAGAAGCTGCAGGACATCGTCTCTCCTGTCTTCCCTGCCACGACAGGGTAAATAAACATGAGGTGGCGCCATGCAACAACGAATATGGAACGCCCTATGCGATTAGCACGGCGTTCGATGAAGCAGGAGAGTGCCCCCCATGCATACGATCCACCCCGGATTGAAGTGTATGCGGAATAGTTCGTTAGGATGTGGATAGAGCATAGAGACGGGTGGGAGTGGCAGGACAAGTGTAATCCGTAAACTACGAAACAACGGTAACGACAGCGACAGGGACAGGGACAACATCAGAGAAGCGAAATGTGTGGATGGATGGATGGATAGAAATGGGAGGGAAATGGGCTTGGCCAGGGATTATGCCACTGAAACTTATAGAAGTGAAATCGAGCGCGTGAAGTTTAAGTGGCGGCCATTGTCCACCTCGAACACATTTCTAATTATAGTGCCAGTTAGGAAACCATAGAGAGAGGGAGGGAAAGAGAGAGAGAGAGAGTGGTATGGACTGTATTGGGTGTGGACTGTTTTGGAAGTGGGAGTGGTGGGGCAAGGTCAGACACAGCAGAGAAGAGGAAGAAGGTGGAGGAAGAAGAAGATGGAGGAGGAACAACTAACCAAAAATGTCCAAACAAATCAGGCAAACAACAAAAAGAAATGCTGCACAATGAAAGCATTACGGCTGGAGAGTCCTTGTCCGTAGCGTAGCCGTGGCCGGGGCGGGCGACGGGGCAGGTTGGAGTATGAGTTTTGCGGCAAGTGTCCTTGAGCATTTTTTGCCAAATGCCCGGTCGAGGGCGGGGAGGAGGAAGCACATGAAGAGGGGCCACCAGGAGCAAAGCTTAACATATACTTCAGGCTTGAAGCGAGCCTCAGAGCCTCACAGCCACACAGCCACAGAGTCACGTCACGTACATTTTATAAACTCCGTACACTGGCCTGGCTCTGGAGCGCTCTCTCCTTCTCTTTCTCGCGCTCTTCGCCGCAAAGCTTTTCCGCTATTTCGCCTCATTTCGCCGCGTTTGGGCCCCCAACCGAGGACCAAGGCGAAATGGCGGACATTCAAAAGCAGCCGCTTCGCCGTCGCAGCGTCAGAACAATTCGTGCCGCGTGCGCGTTCGGTTCGTTTTACGTGCTCTTCTCCTGCCATCCTGCTCTTGCTTGCTCCCTGCTGCTCTTGGGTTCGCTCCATATCGTACTCTCTTGGCTGGTTTGCCGTCGCTGTTTCCATGTCTGTGCATGTCCGTGCATGTCGGTGCCTGCTTGTGTGTGTGTCCGATTCCGCTTGCCAGTGAAAGTAAACAAGCCGCAGAGGCGCCGGCAAATGTCCTTCCTACTTCCTACTTCCGCCTTCCTCCGAACAGCGCACAAGCACCAGTCAGAGGATGGAGAGTGGAGAGTGGACCTGGGGTGGCGAGGGGCTGGAAGATAGCAGGCAAAACTCTAAAAATAAATAATATAAAAAATCAAATAAAATAAAATACGTATTTTTTTACGTATTTCGTGTCGCTACGTTAATGAAGAATTGCCCCTTTTTTTTTTATAGTGACAAATTAAAGAGCACTCGAAAAAAGGTGGGAACTGAGCATTTGAGCAATCCAAAAGTAAACAGTCGACAGAGAGGTCCTTAAAGCGCTGGCGAGAATGTCGAGACCGCCGCAACAGTTTGGCCCCCGCTGCTGGGTGATGCCGCTCCTGGGATTATACCTTCTCAGCCACGGCCTCCGTTGCGATGCACGTGCGGTAAGTGTTGGACCTCTCTATATGTACTACTATATTCCTCCTACTGCCTCTGGACACCCATAAATTTCCCCTGCTCCCTTAGGATTTCTCTATATTTCTCCTTCTCCCTCCCCCTTCCCTTCGCCCGATTAAAGCCATCGATAGCTATGAACGCTATCGATCCCGCTCGATCTGGCAACGGTCCGTGGCTACATGCCTATGATTCCCCAGTTATGTGCGACTCTTATTTATCTATTTTATATTTTTAATTCAACTTGATGATGTGGGGTTTAACATTAACATTTTATTGGGGCCCCACCTTTTTACTGGTCCACCGAACAAATGAGTACAGTAACAGAATGGATTAGTTATAGTAATAGAAATTGAAAAGAATAACGGACAGCCAAGAAATGGAGAAAAAGGCACATGAGTGAAAAGAATCATGCACTGATCTTAATTTAATAGTGAACTCTTGCAAATTCTCTTTGAGGAATGCTTGATGTGGTATTCTTCACTTCCATGGTGCAGATGGTTTCAGATCTACAGACGATATTAGCTGGAAATGAGAGTAATGGCGGGAATGGGCACATCTGCTGTCAGTAATTGTTACGAGGGCAGATAAATTGCGGAGTTTGGGGTTTTTCCCCCAGTTTAGTGCTTTTAAGAAACGATTCTATTCAGATAGTTCGATATCTATATCTAAATAATAAAGAAGGACATTTTTGAAATATGCAATATGAAAGAAATCGCCAATTAAATTTCAGTGGCTGCATATTCCCCAATATTGATGCGGGATTATCCTAAGTTCTATGATAAATAATACAAGGGTCCTTCCATTGTCTTGCATTGTCAGTGATATGTAAGTGATTGTCCGTTTGATTGTCCGCCAATACAGATGTCCCTCTAATCTGGCACACTAGGGTGCACTAGTGACAGCTGCAACTGTCACAGGAAGATGATTATCGGTGTAGATATCTAATAGCAAGAGACAATTTAAACTTTCCTCTTAAAATACCCGCTCTTAATTTGAAGATTAAATTGCGGTTGCTTAGCAGGCAAATGGAAAAGGGAAAATTAAAAATGGAAAATGGCGTTCGTGGGTCCAGACGGGGACTAAGTGCTGGGACATAGTAGGCCACAGCAATTTAGAGCGAGAGCTGGGAATACAAAGAAAGTTGTTCGACTCTGACTCTGACCTGACCAACGCTTGCCCCAAATTTAGATGCGCAAAGTTGCGACTGTTCTGTGTCCGAGATCCGAGTAAATCAAAAATGTGAAACTCTTTTGGTTAGCAAGAAAAAGTTTGTTTTATTTCGGCTGGAGTTGAGCCGCGGTTTGGGTTTGTGTTTGGGTTTGGACGGAGGACTATGGTTGCAAAACGGCGACGTCATCGGTGTCCCATCCCCAAATTCATCCCCTTGTTTTGGTCTTTATCCTTTTGGTGTTCCCCAGTTCCCCTTCCCAGTCCCAGTCCCAGTGCCAGTCCCATCCTCAGGCCCATTCTCATACCATATCATCCTTTTGTCTGAGTTCAGTCGGTCTCCGGCTTGCCAATTCCATTTTTCTTTGCTGCTTTGTTGTGGCTGTTGCTGCTGCTGCCTCCTCTGCTGCTGACTGGTTTGTCCACCCCTACCGTAAGCGCTGCGAAATGAATAATTTCAGAGAATTTACTACACAATTTTATTCATATAAATCACAAATTAAATAAGTTTTTACGAGGTTGTTCAGCGGTTGCAGCCCACTACAGAACTTGTTTGTGTTCTCATTCTCGACGTTTGTTTATTTGTTTGTTTGTTTGCCTGTTCGCCTCCTCCTACTCCTCCACTCTCTTCCTCTCTCTCTGGGTCTGTGTCCTGGTTCCTGGTTTCGGTCTTGGTCTGGGGTTTTGTTGGCCTGGATGGATATCCACGTCTAGTGGCCTAGGGGCTAGGGGCTAGGGGCTGCACTTGCTTGAGGGTTGCTTTTATGGCTGTGTAATTTTTTTGTTGGCCTTTTTATTTATGCTTATTATCGTGATTGCCATTGCCCCGTGGACCGAGCAACGACAACGGCAATAATAACTGGAGCCGCAGTGGAGCACTGAGGGGGGGTGGTGGCGCCCAGTTACTCCTCCAACACCCACAATGGATTCCTGTCCCGAATCGAGTACGTTGTTTCATTTTGGCAGCAATTTGCAGCCCAGGTACGAGCAGAACAAGTGGAATGATTACGGTTGGTTTCACCTCCAGGAATTTATGAGGCTGGCCGGCAAACGGAAAGCAATCTGCGATTGTCCCTTCCACCTATGTACATCCACCTACTGAGCCTTCCAAGAACAATTTAAATTCCGAATTGAGTGCAACAAACATTTTTCACAGCCATTGAAATGCATACACAAAATATGCAACAATTAAATTAAATACCAATTTTGGATTGGAATTGGGATGGCATAACGACTCGAAGTCGAGCAATCGATGCTCTGATGGCAGCTATTTTGATTATCAATTAATATATTATGGCATAAATACATGTGAAATGATAATTATACGGAAATTAAGTCTGAAAGTTAATGGTTTGCTTTAAGCACTTTTTCATTCGATTTTTTCTTAACTTGTTTTGAATTATGAATTAAAATTGTAGTCATCCAATGCACTTTAATTTAACTTTCTGCAGCTGTACGAGATACTCGCTGGCAACTTATTTTCCTAATGCAAATTAAATAGGAATCGCTCGAAGAGAAAGAAAGAGAAAGAGAGAGAGAGCGAAAAAGCTCTGCGGGGATTGGCATCTCGTTTTGGGTAGGGATTTATCTGGGATTTATCGGGCATACTGCTGCGAGTACGAGCATTATATTCTCTCAATCATTTATCACTCCCTTTTCCTCTTTTTTTGGGGGGGTAGAGACAAACACGGATTGCTGTTGCTTTGGTTTTCCCCCCACCGTCTTCGTTTCTATTTTTTTGTCGTTGCTTTTGGGTTAGTCTAGTGGAGTGTTCTGGTTGGTGCTTGTGCGCCCCTTAATTTACATACGAGGTGGCTTGGGGAGGAGACGCTTCCATGCAGATGCATTAATAATGTAACATTAACAGGGGCATGGCATAGAATGGGATGGGATGGGATGGGATGGGGTTCTGGTGAGAGGAAGATAAACAACGCGGAACGCCTTAGCCGCTCAAATGGGATGACAAGAGATGAGCCGAGGCCGAGGCTGTCGGCAAATTGTCCCCGCCCTTGGCCTTCCCTCCCTCTCCCACCCATTCATGGCCTGTCCATTCAATGGTGCTCCATGCGTCTCCATTCCGTTCCATTCTGCGCGTCTCTTATTCAAGGCATTCATTCACGTGCGGTTGACACGATATTCACGAGACGTGAAAGCAATTTACGATGTGGCCGCCGCCGCAACAATGAGCAATTAATCATGCCACAGCCAGGGCATTGTATGGCCCATATCCAGCCGCAGTCCATGGGCATTGACTTCGAATCCAAGTCCAACTCCTGCTCTTGCTTCTGCTTCTGCTCCTGCTCCTGTTTCAGATTCACTTTCAGTCAGCCGCAGACCCAGACCCAGACACAGCCAACGTGCCGTACCGTGCTGTGCCGCCCCTTCAAGGACACCGCCACCGCCGGCGGCCAAGCGAAGGCCGACAGCAGACACACACACAGAAAGAGGAAAAATCCCTTGGGGGGGAGGGGTGGCGATGGATGGAGTGGGCACAAAAAGAAGTGAAAATAAATTCACGACCTTGAGCTGCATTTACCTACTACAGGCTCAATGCCCTGCCCTGCCCTTCTGCGCCCCGACAATTTCTCACATCAAATCATAATTTATGGATGGCAATCAAAATGAGCTGTCCGTTACGGATGCGGATGCGGATGTGGAGCGAATGCGGATGCGGATACGGAATGTTGATGCGAAACTTGGTTTTGGTTTTTGGCTGGGCGAAAAAATGTTGCGCAGTCGCCCACATAATTATCGGTTTGATTTATGGCAGCATTTTCGCAGCCAATTACTTCGCACCCAGGCAAGGCGCCACGGAAAAATGTGTGAATGGGGAGGCAAGTAACGGAACCGGACACATCACATCACGAGCCACGGAATTGACCTACTCCTTTGCATGCTGACCTCTGACTGGCACCCGCGACCACCCACTCACTATTGGCCCTCTGACTGTCCCACCCACTGGCCCTCTGACTGTCCCACCCACTGGCTATAATTAGCAACTGTAAAACGAAGCGGAGGAACCAGCCGATTGCGATCTTTATGGGGAGATCCGAGCAGCACCGGCCAGGCCTTGAAGTCAATCAAACAGCCCGCTCAGGCCCGTAATCTGATGGGTGACATTGTGGCCTTGGGGAAATCTGAGTCAGCAGCTTGTGCCACCTTTAAGCGAGTTTTCAATGGGGTTCCTGTCACTCCTCGGAGCATGGGTCAGAGACATGACACTCATGTGTCCAGCATTGTGAGTAGTCGAAGCTCAGTAAAAAGGACAGGCAGATGGATAGGATATCCCAAAGATACGAGTATCTGCATCTGCATATCTGTGCAGTGACGGAGATGGGCCGGAGGTGTGTATGGGTATCCAAACAGACAATGATGTAAGCCGACAGATGGTCAGAGGACTGCCAACTCCATGGTGTATTGGGATCGAAAATTAAAGTGCAAAGTTATTTTCATAATGCCATTTTTCCAGCCTTGATTGCCACGGAAATGTGTTGTCCGGTGTGAAAGTTGACTCGCTCTTTCTCTCTCTCTTTCTCTCCATCTCTTGAGGACGTGTTAATTTTGTGTTTAATTTATGAAATTAGCCTCGTGTCCTGTGTCGATTCGGAAGTTTTCAGCACGAATTCCGGGTCCAACAGCACAGCACAACACACGTCTGTGTGTGTGGCTGTGGCTGTGTGTCTGTGGCTGTGTCTGTGTCTGCGTCTGTCCTCTTTCTCTTGGGTCTGCCAACTTCAACTTCAACTTCCGGATAATTGCGTTATCTTCGCTTTAAATTAACCCAGGCACTGCAGCCATTGCAGGCGGCCATTGAAAAGTT